TCCTCCTTGTTGTCTGTCCGGTCCCCTCCCTTCGAGTGCTGTATGAGTGCCTTGGATGGGTTCCCCCTTTCGAAAAACAAAAAATTGCGATCCAGTTCTTAAATGTTATTGACTTGTTGTTTACGTTCGAATCAAGCAGTGATTTCTCCCTTCCCCTCTACTCTACTCCTCCCTTGCCATGCCGGGCAAAATAAAAGGTACAGCAGGAAAAAGAAACTACCTGAAGATTTTGAAAATAAAGGCCCAATAGAACTGCAGGCTGGCTCTGGTTGGGCTGGGATATTTTTTCCTTTCATTTCTTTGAAAATAAAAAGGAAAAAAAAACCTCTAAATTTTGGCGCGTAAAATTCTGTTGTTTTGATCACGACCCAAGAACTTGGCGGATTAAAAAAAAAAAACTTGTTTTGATTACTGGCGGTGGAGGATTGCACAGAAAGAAAAACAACAACCACAACAACAACATAAATGTTTGTTTTCAAAAGGGTAATGTACGCCTCGGCAGAGCATCGGCCGAGTGTCATTGAAATATTGGATTCCATTAAGGAGTCAGAGGCAGCAGCATTTGTTGTTATTGGAGTTTGGCCTTCATTTCATAAGGTACCTTGCTATCCTCTCCTCTTCTTCTCCATGCCTGCTGTGTTGTGGTGTGTCCCCACCAGACCCTGGAAAACATAACAACATCAAAACAACAATGAATATCGCCGTTTATTTTGAAAATTTCGAAAGAAAAAAACACCACATCGCGTAGTGGGAATAAAAAAAAGCCGAGGCGGAATGCAACATTGTTTTGGGCTTATCATAAACATCATCAGCGGAAACGTAATGGTGGTGGTGGTGCATCGTCTCCGGAACGCTGCTGCTCTACTCTAATTCACATTCATTTATACACTCCGGCTGCGTTGTGGAATCTCACCACGTCGTTCACAACCTAACCTTTTTTTTTTTTTGCATTTTTGTTTTTCATTTGAATGAGAACTTAGTTCTCGTTGTTGTTGTTTGTTTTCATCACCACCATCATCATGTCGGAGTTCCATGGCCTTTTCGAATACGTTTCGTAGTGAGTAATATATATAAATGCATGTTGTTCTGTGTGTGCCTGTGTATCTGTCCGCCGTCTATCAAAATGTGAAATGTCAATAACATGTTGCATTTCTGTTTAATCCTTTCAGGGACATTTCAAAGGAAGCAGAGAGAGAGAGGGAGAAGGAGAATAAATTTTAAATTCCATTGAACAAATTTGAAATGCCATTGAAAACCGGGTTTCAAATAAAGAAAACGTTGAAAATGTTTTCAAAAACAAGTAAAAAAACATTAAGTTCGGCCGGGCCAAACTTTTAATACCCTCCACCTTAGGGTAAAAAAAACATTAGAAGAGATGTGGCAAAAACCATTAAAATGCCGAATATCGGGAGATACCGTTATATGGCTCTACACCAAAACGTGGACCTATAATTACAATGTTCCGCCACACGAACTAGGACCCATTATGACCCACAAATACCAATTTTTAGACAAATCAGTGAAAAAAAAAGTGGCAAAAACCATAAAAATAAAATACCGAATATCGGGAGGTACCGTTATATAGGGGCTATACCAAATCATGGACCCATACATGCAATGTTTCGCCACCGGAGCTGGAAACCATTATGACCTACAAATACCAATTTTTAGACAAATCCGTGAATAAATGTGGCAAAAAAAACTAAAACACCGAATAATATCGGGAGGTGCCTTTATATATACCACAACGTGGACCTATACATGCAATGTTTTGCCACACGCTCAGGGACCCGTTATGACCTACAAATACCAATTTCCAGACAAATCCATGAAAAAATGTGGCATAAATCATCAAAATACCGAATATCGGGAGGTACCTTTATATGGGGGCTATACCACAACGTGGACCTATACATGCAATGTTTTGCCACACGCTCAGGGACCCGTTATGACCTACAAATACCAATTTCCAGACAAATCCATGAAAAAATGTGGCATAAATCATCAAAATACCGAATATCGGGAGGTACCGTTATATGGGGACAATACCAGAACGTGGACCGATATATTCCATTTTCAATACCAACCATCCTAGACACAATGCAAATAGCTCTGCTAAATTTTGGCGCTCTACGTCAGATGTGGGCTGTATCGTGATTTCAACAGACAGGCGGACAGACAGACGGACGGACGGACATTGTTAAATCGACTTAGAATTTTATGCTGATTATGTATATATATACTTTACGGGGTCTAAGACGAATATTTAAGGATGTTACAAACGGAATGACAAAGTTAATATACCCTCCTTTCCAAGGTGGAGGGTATAAAAATTGCAATATATCAAAATTAAGGCTAGATTACACACTTCAAAGAAAGCAGAGAGGGTGGGAGAACAAATTCGAAATTCCATTCGAAATTTTTTTCAAATGAAGAACTAATTTCAATTTTTTTCAAATAAATTGCAAATTTTTGAAGTTTGTCTAGATTACCCATGAAGTTAAAGTCATATGTAAAGTGACTTTTTCCACAATGATATGTTGCATTTGTAAAGCATACTTTTAGGCGCTACCCAGAATTTTATTTTAAATCTAAATAGAAACACTGTATGGTATAGTATAAATCATGGTAGAATAATACAGATAGTCGCATCAACACATCCAGGTAGCTGGACAATGACTCTCAAACTAATTTTCAAATTGAAAATATTGAATGAAAAATTATTGAAATTTGTAAAAACTGTAGAAAACAAGTTAGAAAGTATCGATCGGTTTAGCCGGCAGGTTTGTACCCTCAGCCAATGTTCGATTATTTAAATATATTTTGAGTTCTGGTTATGACTATTTAAATTGTCGACCCTCTATAGAGTAGGTTTCGAAGAAATGGGCCAATATTGTGCATTTCGTATCGGACCTAAATTTATAACATATCGTTTGTTGATAAAAATATTCAGATGTGCCAATTCTGAATGTAATCGGATGTAAATTTCGAGCTTAACGAATGTTTAGAATGTCGACCTTTTGTGGGGGAGGTACAAGAAGGAGTGGGCCGATATATTCCATCTTAATGCCAAACTTTGGGGTTTAAAAAAAGTTTCGGCAAGTGTGAAATTGTAAGACAATCGGGTTCTTACATCACATTTTATAAGACTTTTAATTATTCACAATTTTGACCCATTGTAGGGAAGGTAAGAAGTGGACCGAGATATTGTCCATTTTCGCATCTGACCTATCACTGACGCAAATATTAGTATTTGCAAAGTTGTAGCAAAATCGGATTATCGTTTCTCTTTCTATGCAGAAAACATATTTTTTTTTAAATTTCGACCTTTTTCGGGGAAGTACCAGAAGGGGTGGACCGATATATTCCATCTAAACACCAGACCTTGGCTTAATATACATATTGGGATACGTGAAATTTAAAGACAATTGGAATCTTAGATCAAATTTTATAAAAGTTGTAATAATTCCAAATGTTGATCCTTTGTTGTTTTTGCACCTGGCCTAGCACTGACGCTAATATTAGGATTTGCAAAGTTGGAACAAACTTGGATTATCGTTTCTCTTTCTGTACTGAAAATAAATTTTTTGAAAATTTCGGCCTTTTGGGGGGAGATACTCGATATCGCCCATCTCCGAACTCAATATAAGTTTGATAATAATATTACAATGTACCAAATTTGGATCAAATCGGATACTTATCGTGCGCACCAGCAAGACAGAGACAAATCGACTCCGAATGTCCTGAAACGGATTTCGTCCAAAAAGACGTTTTGGCCGTATCAAATGATGTATTCCCTCTCTAGCCATATGGCTGAGGGTATAAAAACAATTCAATCATTCAAATGGGATATCCATGAGATTTCCAGCATCAGCCTGCATGCTAGCATATTCTGCAGCACTGATGGACGTTTTACGCTTAACATTCCAGCGTGATCGTGATCGCTTAACATTAGGAGATACTCTTTATGTGGGGACCAGCACAGAGGTTTGGCTATTTTAGTCTAAGGGAAATTTGCACGCGGGTATTTAAGCGAGGCTCCACCCAAGACCCGCTAACTGTTCGAGACTGTTTATTGAATTTGCAGCCATGCTCCCCGAAGAGGACAGAATCAAACATGCGTCAAGTGGATGTTAAGTTCAGTATGACGTTTTCTAAGGGCGTCGATGTTATTGTCTCTATAGTAATTCATTGATTTTTGTGGGAATACTATTAAGATCTGATTTGTAGGCTGCCTTGTGTCAACATCTTATATTGACATCTGAATTTTAAGGCCTTCATAAAAATGGAATGTTATGGGCTTTCTTATCTCTGTATTATAATAAGTTTACACAGCATGTTCAAGTCATATGTAAGGTGATTTTTTTTACTTTCATATATATATGTAGAATTTTTGTAACATACTTTTGAGCTCTCCCAACAATTTTTAATTTTTAAAAATAATAATAAAAAAGTTTTTTTTACAATATAAACAATATGCTCTACTATAAAGCCATAGGCACTCAAACTATACTATATTTAAACTATACTTCTACTTTATACAAAAAGCATGGGAACACCTAAAAACATGCTACAAAAATCCTCAACATAAATCATAAACAGTCTCTACATATGACTGTGAAATGATGATGTGTTGAACACACTTTAAAATTCTTCCATTAGTGTGAATACTATTCAGCAGGCCTGTCGGAAAAAGCCCTTCTTGATCCAAAGGCTTTTAAAAATGTGATCATAAAAATGCACCCTAATATAAGCTTGAAAATGGTGATTCAATGACTTCCAGAGATAACATAATCCATGACGACTTTGAGAAAAGAATCTTATAAAAGATTTTTTACTATTTTGCAAATTTCCTCTTGTTGCAGGGAGATAGCTTGGCGGTACTCAGCATACAAACAAAACCCAGCTTGACCTCCAGTGATGATGAAAATTATTTAAAGACTGAATTTTGAAAAGAAGATTATAAGTAGTCCATTATTTATTTTACAGCACACACTTACCTTCTTAAAGCGGGGAATTTTCCTGGAGATATATTACACACCGAAATTGTGATAGTCTAAAAATAGAAGATAATATAAAAAGAAATTAGTACAAATCATGGTATAAATATTAAAAAAATGTAATTATTGAAATTTTTGCAAAGAACAAGGCCTATATAAAGTCCAGGCCAGGAAGCCCATCTGACAACCAAGTTTGCTGCCAAAAAACACAATTGTGACTTGAACTTTAAAGATAGTCCTATCACAATAGAGCGAAATCCACAAAGTTTATTGTCAAATCGTTGTCAAAAGTAATCTTCCTTACCGACCTTATGCAGGCCTTGGAAATATAGGTTGTTTAGAGTGTTAAATTTGTTTTTCTTAGCAAAGCCTGACAACGATTTAAAGGTAGATTTTCGAATTGAAGAGTTTTCCTGTGAAGGACTATTTCTTGTTGAAATGTACCCCAGGAGACACTTGAATTGAAAATTTAAATTTTTTTAAAGAAGCATACCTGTTTTCTAGCATCACTTGTGAATTAAAGAAAAAATTATAAATTATACGACTTGTGAATTTTATTCAATACCTAATTTAAAAATTTTTAGGACTACACTCTCTATAGAAGTATCCTAGGAGGTATCTTTGGAAGCATATATAAGGAAGACATATTGGCATACAAGACCACCAAAATGTTGGCCATTAAAATGCCTTCAAGAGAATTTTTCCTCCTCAATCGTTATTGAATTTTTTTTTTCAGATACAATCCCCACCCTTCCATGAATTGAAAATTTATGTTTTTTTAAACATTAATGTATTTTGTATTTTTTTATTCATATTTTCCCCCATTCTCACCACTCTCTCTCTCTCTCGCTCTCATTTCATAGCTACTAATTTGATTTTCACAACTTTTAAAGAGATATGACAACAACTAAGAAGTTGTGACATACGGGTGGCAGGCAGGGAAGCAGCACAAAAAGACATCCTGGTGGCATCATGGGAAAGACGACATCTATGTACACATGTAGATGAGGAAATAAAGGACTTAAAGAAAAATGAAGGGTATAACAAAGTTGACACAAAAAGGAGGAGAAAGGGTAAGACAAATTTTCTCTAATGTACAGCGAGCCGATGATGCTGCTGATGACAATAAATTTTAAAAGCGATTTCAAATTTGTAAGGATGGAGAAGGGGGGAAGGGGGGAAGGGGAACCCCTTTTAACATGCCGCCCATCATTTGTGTATTAAACAAAAATCCTTGTTCCTCCAGAGCATGCCTGTCTGTCTGAGTCTAGGCAGCCAAGAAAATGGAAATCATTTCCATCTTCTTCTTCGTTGCAAGATTTTTTATAATTGAATTTTAATCACTATATTTTTTCCATAACTCTTATCTTAATATACGACTCGATTCGTAGTAGACAGGAAAATTCGATTAAAATTTGAAATTGAAATATTGAAGGAAAGGTGGGGAGAAATATTAAATATTGAAGTCGTGGGTGCTGGAAGAAGAAAGCATGTCATTATAGGGACTATAGGGGAGAAGGTGTGCCAGTAAGTGGAGAAAAGGTTAACTTTGAAAATTAAAGGTTATGTGGAGGGCGAAATGGTCCAATCTCTACCATATTTATAACAGATATTGTCTTAATGGAAATATTGAGATATACGAAGTCTGGAATGGAATCGAATGTTAATTTCGTGTTATATAAGTTTCATGGATATTCAAAATTTTGACCCTTTGTGGGTGAGGTACCAGAAGGAGTAGGACCGATATATTCCATTTTCACAGCAGATCTTGTAGTAGTAAAAAAATGAGATGTGTGAAATATGAAGAGAATCGGATGCTTATTTCGGATTTTATAATCGTTTTTGTTATTCAAAACGTTGACCCTTTGTGGGTGAGGTACCAGAAGGAATGGTCCGATCTCTATCATCTTTGCAAAAGATCTTGTGTTGATGAAAATATTGAGATGTACCAAGTCTGGAATGAAATCGAATGTTAATTTCGTGGTTTTATAAGCGTCATGGATATTCAAAATTTTGACCCTTTGTGGGGAAGGTACCAGAGGGAGTGCGCCGATATATCCCATTTTCACAGCAGATCTTGTGTTAGTAAAATAATGGGATGTGTAAAATATGAAGAGAACCGGATGCTTATTTCGGATTTTATGATCGTTTTGGTTATTCAAAATTTTGACCCTTTGTGGGGGAGGTACCAGAAGGAATGGTCCGATCTGTAGCATTTTTATAACAGATCTTGTGTTGATAGAAATATTAGGATGTGTCAAGTCCGGAATGGAATTGGACGTTAATTCTGCGTTTTATGAGCTTCATGAATATTCAAAACTTTGACCCTTTGTGTGGGAGGTACCAGAAGGAATGGTCCGATCTCTACCGTCTTCACACCATACCTTGGATTAATAAAAATATTGTAATGTGTGAAATTTAAAGAGAACCAGATGCTAATTTCGGATTTTATACGCGTTTTGGTTATTCAAAATTTTGATCCTTTGTGGGGGAGGTTCCAGAAGGAATGGTCCAATCTCTACCATCTTTATAACAGATCTTGAGTTGATGGAAATATTGAGATATGCCAAGTCTGAATCGAATCGGATGTCAATTTCGTGTTTTATGAGCCTCATGAATATTCAAAACTTTAACCCTTTGTGGGGGAGGTACCAGAAGGAATGGTCCGATCTCTACCATCTTCACACCATACCTTGGTTTAATAAAAATATTGTTATGTGTGTAATTTGAAGACAATCGGACACCTACATCACACTTTATAAGAGTTAGAACTATACAAAATTTTGCCAGTTTGTACGGGAGGTACTTAATGGAGTGGGTCGATTTTGTCCATTTTCACACCAGACATAGCACTGCTGCAAATATTAAGATTTGCAAAGTTGGAGTAAAATCGGATTATTCTTTCACTTTCTGTGCAGCAAAATTATTTTCCTTGAAAATGTTGACATTTTGTGGGGAAGGTATCAAAAGGAGTGGACCGATATTGCCCATCTCCGTACTCGATCCGAGTTTGACAATAATATTACGGTGTACCAAGTTTCGATCAAATCGGATACTCCCTTCAAGAGTTATTGTGCGCGCACCAGCCAGCAAACAGACGGACGGACATCGTTAAATCGACTCCAAATGTCCTGAAACGGTTTTGGTTTAAAGAGTCCTTATATATATGGTGTTCTATGTTATATAATATACATAAATTATATTTTTTATTAAAATTATGCTATGAAAATATAAATGTATACGAATTACAACCAAGTGTTTTCTTTCAGATAACCAGTTGAGTGAAACGCCTCAAAGTATGTTATAAAAAATGATGAACATAAATGCAGAAAGATTAACTTTACATTGCCTTTGGGAATTGTTTTTCAATGTTTTTTAAGTAGATTTTTTGAAGGTTTTTTATAAAAAAAATATATACCTATATATTTTTTATCGAATTTCAAAATTTTTAAATACCTATATTTTTAAAGAGAACACCTCTCTTACGGGTATTTTTATTTATTTACTTATTTATTTATTTTTTTTTTTTTTCAAAAAATATTGATTTCTTTAGAGGATCTTTCAAAAGTCTATAAACCAAAAAAAAATGTGTTAATTATAAAATATGAAAAAATTACTTTACACATGACTCTCACACGATGTGGAAACTGTTTTTGGAAGAAACAATTTAAAACAGTCTCAAATAGGGTTTTTATTTAAAAAATTTTTTACGCAGTCAAAAATCATACAAAGATTTAAAAAAAACCTCTCTTGGGGATTTTATTTAAATATTTGTTTTAAATAATTTTTAATTATTTTTTTAATATTTTTTCTTAATCTTTTTTTATTATTTTTTTAATAGTTTTTTAATAGTTTTTATATTTTTTATATTTTTTATATTTTTTTATTTTTTTTTTTTTTATTTTTTAATATTTATTTTTAAATATTTTTTAATTATTGTTTATATTTTTTTAATATTTTTTAATTATTTTTTTTAAATTTTTTTTTAAATATTTATTTATTTATTTAGAGGATCTCCAAAAAGCCAAAACAATTTGTGTTTCCATAAATCCAATATCTTCCCCCCTCTTTTTCTCCCGCTTCTCTCCACAACCTATAAAAAACGTTCCTGTTCATGACAGCGCACTACAAGAGAAGTTTATTAAAATGGTTTTTTTAAATAAATTTATTTGGAAGAAACAATTTAAAAGTGTCTCAAACATAGCTTTTATATAAAAAAAATATGCAGTCAAATTTCAAACAAAGATTTAAAAAAAATCTCTCTTGGAGATTTTATTTAAATATTTTTTTGTTTTAATTATTTTTTTAAATGTTTTCTTTTTAATTATTTTTTTTTAAATATTTTAAAATTTGATTTTTAGATGACAACAACACAAGGTCGGCGTCGAAGCTTGGCGATATTTTGTAAAATTTTGTTATATGTTTAAACAGTATTGTTCCTGATGATGTCTTCCGTTGGAGGACGAAATATCGAAAATAATAAATAATTAAACAACAACAAAGACCTCGGGCTCGTTTTTATAGAATTTACATTTGTAACAATATTTTAAAAATTTTTTAAATATTTTTTTTTTAAATATTTGTTTTAATTTTTTTAATATTTATTTTTAAATATTTTTTTAAATATTTTTTTAATATTTTTCTTAATATTTGTTTTAATATTTTTTTTAATTGTTTTGTTTTAAATTATTTTTTTTTAATTTTTTTTTAAATATTTATTTATTTAGAGGATCTTCCAAAGGTCCACCAAAAAGACAAAACAATTTTTGTTTCCATAAATCCAATATTTTCTCTCTCTTTTTCCCCTGTTTCTCTCCACCACCTATAAAAACGTTCCTGTTCATGACAGCGCACTACAAGAGAAGTTTATTAAAACAATAACATAAATGACATTATATTGTCATAGTCTCGTCGTCTCTTCTACCCATTTATGTTGTTTTCGAATTTTATGTATGGTTCACACACACACACATGCACACACTCTCACAACAAATATACCTAAACATGTGTGTGGCTGGCTGGCTGGCTGTGGCATTTCCCTCCTTTTTATAAAACA